ATACTTTTAGTCATTCACAATTGCTTCAACATAATGTCGCTATCTTTTTCTCTTTCAAAACGTTATAAAGAATATTGTTAGAGTGATGAAGATGGATCTATGAAAGTGCCTTTCGATCCTTCCGTTGTTCTCCTTCGTTGGCCAAGTTATAGGCATTTTGCCAAATCTCAACAACACATTATCCAATCCATCTATGCGAGTACAGCTTACATCTTCACTTGCTACAATGAGAATCTTATATTGCGACCCAAGAGTGAAATTTCATACTTCATAACTGTCATCAATAACAAAAGCCTTGAACAAACCACAACCAATAACTCTGAAATCACTTGTTAGGAAATAAAACGGATCAAGGTAATATATATATATATAAGACAAAGAATTAATTGACAGAGAAATAGAGTATTTTATTCAATTGAGTAATACAAATAAAACAAATACAATCAGTGTGCCTAGCTACTCTAAAAATCTCCCTCCCTCCCTCCATCGGATGAGTGAAGTCCGAGGCAATAATTTAGCAAGGATCAAGGTCTTTGGTACAACAATAGCAGTTCAAGAGAGACAATAAACAAATGATTATGAACCAAAAAAAGCTGATCAAACGGAAAGAAAACGGCCCCAAAATATCGTAGCATGCCCAAGAGGCAAAAGCATGGAAACAAAGTTTTGTTACTTCAACAAATAAAATGTTAACCAACCTAGACACTTTTGTAAGGGCTGCCAAAGGTACTGGACCTCCGGTGGGGTCCTCAGAAACGTGCCAGTCAGTTTCAGTCCGAAAATGTCTAAGCCGCCTTGCCAGGACATGGCTAGGTTATCAGAGGGCTGCATACTGGATGCTTCTAGGGTGCACCAATTTGAGTTTGACACGGTGGTGGAGGATTTATGCACTTATTGGTGCTTAAACTTACGATATTTGATGATACTTTTAACAAAAAGATATCCTAAATTTTTATATTTTATGTTTAATAGGCGAAACTCTATGAATGAAAAAGGAGTTGAAGGAAAGAAGCAAAATTGGCCATTGGATGGAAGCTAGAGATCAAATTTCCACTCTTTGAAATTTAAAGACTTGGAGAAATAATATCTTATTTGGGCCTTGGACCAATTGATAAAAGAGAAAATTTCATAAGTAAAAGATTAATTATGACACATTTCAAAAACAAGAAAACAAGTTTCAAATTTCAAAAATTAGATTTTTATTAAAAATTATTTATAATTTAATTAATTAGTTAATTATTTTAGCAATTAAGTATATTTAAGTCACGGATTTATATAATTTGGTCACAAATTAACGATTTAATTTGTCACTTATTATTTTTTTATCACAAATCAGAAATTTTATGTCACAAATTATTTTATGATCACAATTCAAATATTTTATAGGTCACAGTTTGTTCGTCGGTCACAAATCGAAAAATTCATAAGTTACGATTTTTTTATTACAAGTCACAGCTTATTTTACAGTCATAAATTAACATTTTTTTAGGTCACACGTTATTTTTCGGTCACAATTTATCTTTTCCATTGGTCACATATTACTTATTGGCCACAGATTAACTAATTTAATGGTCACAATCAACCAAATAATTTGTGACCACCACCAACACTTACGATTCACAGTCACAATTTTCAGGTCACGTATCCAATTGTGAGTCATAAATCAACTAAATCGCCATGACCACCGCCATGACCACCACAACCAACTGTGACTCCCGAATTGTGAGTTACAATTGGGACTCACCATCACAATTTTAGGTCACCGGTCCAATTATCTGTCACAAAATCAACCAAACCGCCAAAACCACCACCGCAATCCACCACCACACTCACCAGCACAAACCACTGTAAAAACCACTACAAAACAATATAAAACCATCGCCGATTTACAACTGCATAACCACTATCACCACCAACCCCAAACGTCACCACCAACCCCAACGCCACCACCATCAATATCACAGTCAGCAGCACTACCTTCTGTAACAAAAATCACAACCACTATCTCAAATTACACCACAATCACCACATTCAACAAGAAATGCCCAAATCACCACTCCAACAACAATGTCGTTGCCTCACCAATCCGCACAGTTGCAGTTGGCCTCGGTTGAACCGGTAGATCTATTGCAACCAGTCGCCACCACGACCTGCAACCACCAACATCTCACCATCACCACCGCCACGATCCCCATTGTCGGCCACCACTCCAACACCACTGCACCTGCGCACCTACCAGATCCACCATCACGTCGTCACACATTGTCGATGTCGTCTCACACAAAACCATCGCAACCTCACGCCACCGCCGCCGCACACACCACTACACTCACCCACAGACACACCACCGCCGCACACACACCACCCCAACCACCACAGATCGCGATGGGCAGTTTATCCGATTGTGAGATCTCCTCAAATCGCCACCAGTTCATCGACGCTGAAACGAAGCAGCTCCTCCATTGGTCGGCGACGCTACAACAGAGCAGCTCTCTATCATCGATTCTCCATCGCCGGTCGCCGGGTAGTTGAGAGAGAAAGAGAGAGAGAGAGAGAATCGGGGGTAGGGGAATGAAAGTGGAAGAATAATTAGGATTTGAAATTATTATTTATTAGATTAATTTTCAAATATATTAATTAATTAAAAAAATTTCTGATTTGTGAAATATTAAACATTGCATCTTATTTATGAAATGGGGATTTTTAATCTATTAGAATATGTAATTTCCACTTGATAAAATGGAAGGAATTAATATGGAGTTGGGTTTATTTTAAGAGAAAAAAGTTGTGGGCTTTGCATGTTGGGCTTGCTATTGGATTAATATTCAATCAAATTGATGGGATTTATTTTGTGGACTTTTGGTGGGCTGGAAATTTATTTAAAAAAATATATATATATATATATATGAGGCTGTATTGGCTGAATTTATAGGGCGAGATACATTGCATAAAGAGGGCAGCCGGGGTAGAAATTGGAAAGGAAAAAGAAACCAGCTGCTGAAATTTGGAGGAAAACATTGGGGCTTTTGCTGAATTTATATATACACATACACATCACGTGTACCAGAGAAAGCAAGGAGAGAGCGATTGAAATATCACTTCAAAATTGGAGCTGAAAACGGCGCTGTGGGAGTGAAAAAAAAAAAAAGGTAGCAGCAAAGGGAATTTGGAGCTACCTATTGCTAAGATTCATTATATATACATATACATTGACAAGGGAGTCAACTAGGGAAGATACCGATTGATCACAAAGGCAGCCAAGTGGGAAGATACATTGAAAAGGCAACCTTGTGGGGGAAACTTGTGTTGCTGAAATACACGTTTGGAGGCAGCCAAGATTATGCACATAAAGAGAGGCGGAAAGGACTCAAACATTGGGCTGAATTTGAAGGAAAAAGATGTCGATGGCTAAGCAAAAAAATTCCAGATTTCTTTTGCAATAATCATGTCAATTTCGCGATGATGTTTTTCCAATTTTTATTTGTTTGATTCTAACATTATGTTAGGCTAATTCCTTTCATATATTGGATGGGATGAACCCTATTGTTTATTTTTATTTCTAATTCAATAAAAGTAATTTAGTTTAATTCATGTGCTTCTTCATTAATTTTGCATGATCATTACATTATTTAATGGATTAGCCACCAATTGAATAATCAGTTGCTTATTGTAGTGTTGGGAGACTCACAATAAGTTTAGAACGCTGCAAAACTAACATATGTAGATTGAATTAGGAATTATTTTTATCACATATGCAATTGCATAGATAACCTATAATCCAATGTATTTTGGTCATATGAATTCGGTCTAGGAATAAGTTCTAGTCGTGATTAGAATAAATTTAGTTTGTCTTGAAAATAAGAATGAAATACACTAATGATATCGATTGTCACGAAAGCATGAATTGACTATATTACGAATCAAAAATTAAAATAAATAATAACAGAGGATTCAAAATCAAATACAATCATTCACATATTTGACAAACTATTTTTTTTATTGCTTCCTTAGTTAAAAATTAGTTTAAAAACAACAAAATCACATCATTTATGTCACGAACATCGAATTTAGTAGTAAATAGTGAACTAGAATTAAATATTATTTCTCGTGGGACGATAACTCAAACTCACTTTATTATTACTTGTTAATGATTTCGTACGCTTGCAGATTTCACACGATCATGGAGAAAGGCATTTTCCAACATCCTTTTCCGGCAAAGAGGAGGGAAAAAATTTCATTGCCAACAAGTAAACTGTCTTCAACTTTATCCAAGTAGTACACCAAAAAAGGGGGAAGAGGAGGGCAAAAAAGATCGTTGCCTAAGCTTCATGATTTGCTGTAAATAAAAGTTTCTTAATTGAAATTTAAAATATTGGTCCATAATTGGCTAAAATGTCCAATTGAGTATATAAAATATTATAACGGTCGACTAGGGAGGATTTTTGGTGTTGCTGATGATGATTGGTCCAATGAAATCCGTTCCAGGTTATATAATCAACATCTATGAATATTTATATGAGTCGTAGTAGTTGAAAAATATTTCTTACTTTTTATTTGAACTTGATTTTTTTACTTAAATATTGAACTATGAACTTTTAAAAGTGCTAAACTCTTAATTTCGGGAGCTTACTAGCAATTCTCCCTAGAAGCCAGTTATAAATTGTAAATTTCAATAGACTTTTTCTTTTAAAAAGAGCGTGTTTTTTTTTTTCCTTCTTCCTTTTGCATAATCAATAATTTGGTAGATCCACACCAAATAAGAGAAGAAAATTTCAGTGCATAAAAATTCAATTAAAAAAAAAAATTGTACGACATTGCAATTATTGATTTTTCTCATCATCTATATTGTCTTTCCACGAGAAATTTCTTGGGAACTTCATAAATCAAAACGCAAAATTTCTTATATTAAATGGAATTTTAAGCCAACAAAAGCCTGACAAAAATAACATCAAAATTGAGAAAATTACGTATCTTTTAATAAATCAATGACTTGTTCTTGTTCACAGATCTGGGGGCAAGATATCCAATTCCTTCCAGAGTTCTATACATTCTGGAAGAGCTTTTTTCTTCAAGAATCCAAGAGGGTTTGCTGAACGTACATCACCATGCATGCCATTGTTGATTGTCAGTGTAATGCTGGAGGCTTGTTTTGTCCATCCTTCATCAGGGATTTCATCACAATCTTTTCTGGTGCTTGAAATCAGCTTGATTTGACAAAATTCGTCCTCGTGATCCCCTTTAACGGGCAGGCGATAGACGCCTTTGTCGTTGGTTTTACCTGAAACGGTGTATGTTATGTTGCCTTCCTCCTCACCTCTGCACTGGAGTTTTACTTCGGCACCTACACAATAAAAGTTTATAGGTTATAAATTATGACAATGAATGATGCGGGGCATGATTTTAAGAAATGGCAGATTTATTCACTCTATCAATAATCGAGTTAGATTTGTAGCTAGTATCATAAGGGATTTGCTTTTATTTTGTTTTTTACAGATTGTAAAGCATAAAATGATGCTACCTAGGAGTCAAAAAATGATGGACACTGAACTCAAGATAAGTGGCATGTTTTACATATTAATAAATGAGTAATGTTATGTAATCTCGCATGATGCAACCCTAGTGATGTTATATAGAATTACTCTTTAATATATTTATAAAGTAACATACCAGGCATGAACTCAGTAAGCTTGTTAATGAACTGAGCACGACAAGTGTCGCAATAAACTTGTCCCTCGACGTAGAAAGATTGCTTGTTGGGAGAGGCTTGGGAGTTGACAGCACTTGGAAGGGACGAGAAGAATAAAACTACAGTAAATAGAATTAAAAATTGAATAAACCTCGTCATATTTTTCGTAGTTGTTTAGGAAGATGTAAGAAAATTGGTTTGTGGTTTGTACCAAGACAACAGTGTATATTTATAGGAGGTTTGTTTGTTTTTGTTTGGGCAGTTATTTATTTGTGGTCACTTTGTATTTTGATCTCGAGGGTGAAAATGTACCTCACTCCACTTTTTGAGTACAATCAAGAAATACTCTACTGTGCATATCTAGACATGTAAAACAAGATGACCTATTTTAGAAACAGTAGATTTGTTTTATGATTTTTGGCAAGAAAATAAGAATAAAAAAATGACCAATGTGATTGGCCCATGTAGGCTACAGGTTTAGAGGGTTAGGCTCGACGCGACTTATATCGTACTCAAGTTGACAAAAATCAGGTCTACATTTGTGGTCTTTATTTTGATAAAATATTGTCTTTGTCACCTTCACGGGGTCAATTAGAACCTTTGTGTACCAACGCCTTGCTTCATCCAATCCATCCATAGTTCTCGAGCAAGTCTAGGGGTGGCAAAAGGGCCAAGTAGTTCGTCTGTTCGCCTCATCAAAGCTCGGCCCATGAACTACTCAAGCTTGTATCGGAACGTGCTAGAGCCCGAGCCAAGTGGGAGGTCTGTTTGGCTCGTTGAGCTCGTGAACTACCACGAGCCTAAAGTTCACAAGCCTACAGGCTTGTAGGCTCATAAAAAATGTGAACAAAAAAGTCAAAAAAGTTTTAAAAATTAAAAAAAAAATCTTTAGCTTGTGGGGTGGGCTCGTGAGCTCCTGGGCCGAGCAAGACTCGGCTCGTGCTTGAACGAGCTCGTGGGTAGATGGGTCTAGTCGGCTCAGCTCGGCCCATTGCTACCACTAAGCTGGTCCCAATCCTCCAAAAATGCCACAAAATGTTACATCTATAAATTATGTGGAATGCACGTTGCAAAGAGAGTCTCACATTACCTGGTTGGCTATCGATTATGTTAGTTGAATTGAGATGATCAAATTAAACAACCTCTTCTTAGGCTTGGTCCGTTCCACTAACTCCTCTTAGCCCATTTTTTCTCTTCTATTTATATATGTGAGTTCATTTTGCATAAAAAGTAGGTACTCTAAACCATAAACAAATTCCTTGTCACCCCCTTTTGCATTCATTCTATCTCATTATGATAATAGACTTGATCATCATAGTGCAAATGACCGTCGGCCTTTTTTTTTAAAGTTGATTTTTGCATCCTAAGGATGTATTCCAGTGTGCAAGTGATTCTTAAATGAAGAGAGAGGTGGTCGAGACTCGAGATTTTATTGACCATTCTATTGATCTTTAGCCCTTGTTTGATTCTCTTTACTTTAATTTATTTCACGTACACAATTTTCAACTACACATTTATACAATAAAATATTCTATATGCAAACCTATAATTTTTTCTTACTTTTTAATCTTATATTCTCCAATAAATACTATTCAAAAGTATGTTTTTTTAAATTTTAAGACCACCAAACAGGGGGTTAAATGAATTATAAATTGGGAGATTATATAGGCAACACAATTTTTATTTGTTACACCACAGTTTAATTGCATTTAAACTCTCCAATCTTTGCTCTTTGTAGCAGTTATTTTCTTAGCTTTTTAATCGAATTCTCATATTTAACATTCAATTAATTAGTATGTCTCATTGAAGATGATGATTTATATCAAAATATTTTTATTTCATGCTTTGAAATGAGGGAAAAGTGTTTTTTCACTTTTTTTTTTTTAAATATGATGGAAAAATAAATTATTTTACGTCATTCCAATGAACATTTGGACATAAAACTGTTATCAGATATAAAAGTGTTAACTAATGAAAAGTCTAAGGATAAAAATGACATGAAAAATCGTTATGAACATTAGTGTTATAATGAATAAAGATTAAAAACTTTAACTTTAATTAAAATGTGGTGCAAAAAATAAAAATTGTAGTATGAATATAATTACCCTTATTAATTTGGAGGTCTTGATGAGAATCAAGATGGTTCAATTTGATAGATATTGGTGGATCACAATCAAGTCATTTGTTTTATTTTTAGAAATATTAGTAGCGGATCGTGCATTGTACGATAACTGTTATAATTTTTTAAGAGATTCCGTTGTAACAACAATATATTTTAGAACATGTAAATATTTAGTTATACAGTGTCAATAATGTGAACAATTGGGCTAGTCATATGGGCCAAAATCTATTATCGCTTCCACCTCTGCTTTCGCAAATGCTAACAACAGCCTGTTATTTAACAAACCAATTAACAAAATGAAAATAGATCCCAGAACTCTTGAGCCCAGCAAGTAACATTAATCCAATTTGTAAAACACGAAAGACATACATCTTTATGTGAGTAAGAACTTAACATACCAGTAGAGCTTCTAATTTTAAAATATTAGCCGTTTCTGCAATATATGACAAAAGTTTATTATAAGTAACTATAGGCGTACTATGGCTCGTAATTTTATAACTTCAACTTCCAATCGACCACAAAATTGTAAAGAAAGTTGGTTTTTGTTGCATCAAGGGAACAAATCTACAGTTTACATAGTGGTAATTTGTAAAATAATGCAAAACACTCAACAGAGCATTTAAGCTCTAAAATATCAGCCAGAAAATGCAACATATGACAGTCAAATAGTTGCCTAGAGGGTAAATTTTGACCTAACGACCCATTGAGATCATACAAATTTTAACTTCCAAGTCGGCAAAGCATTGGAAGGGGAGAAAAAGGTGACAAACTTCAATTGTTGCACTAAATCCTATCAAGAAATTTGATTCTTACTGATATCGACTTTTTTCGAGATAAGATACATAATTTGCGTTCTTTGGATCAACCACTATCTAAAGAATATTTTGAGTACTAACAGACGTTCATATGAGAAAACATTAAACCAGCTTCTAAGTTTTCAAAGTTGCACCTTGGTGAAAATTGAATAAATATAAAATAATTTCAAACCTTCTTAGTCTATTATACTTGTTCCGTATCCATTCCATATTGTTCACTAGCATATGGAAACATTTTATCAGCCATCATTTTCAATTTTTTCCGCACATCAGCTGGTCGAAGTGAAGAAGAGTGATGTTGTTTCCTAAATATTACATCCTTCCCACCTATCTTTATACCAACAATAATATGCGTGCCAAACTTTTCAATGAACCTGAAAGTAAAACATGAACTTATAACAAAAGGAGGAATCTTGGAAAAACAATACATTTTAAAATATAACACAAAGGTAGCAAATAGTATCATGGATGCGTCCAATCATATTTAATAGCAGAACTCAACCACCTTTAGCTCCAAAATTTATAAGACTTCCTTTGTATATAATATATTCTTATATAGAATTTTAAATGATTAACAACATAAAGAGCAGAAGGAAACAATTTTCCATGTCTACATAAATAATGAAAATGCAATAACAATCAGAATTATATGTAGCATATTTGAAGGATGTATGACAGCAGCATCAGGCTTAAATTTAGTTATTGGACCTCGTATTCCTTAGCTCAGAAGATGTACTTTCAAAGAAAGGTATACAGATTGGGCAAACCATTACAAAGGTGTTCAAGCTTCTTAGTATTCTATCACCTTCCTTTAAATTGAAAAAGCAAGATTAGCAGAAACAACCCACTGCCACTAACAATTAGCAGGAGCTTTAGATATAAGGGTGCACGAAGTACTTTCAACCACCTTCATGAACAAGGAATAAAAAGTAAAATGGGATTCAGTTTTTCAAAACACCAATAGAATAGAAGGCTTAAAAATAGCTTGCAATCACAATAATAGTAGTGTCTCCATTACACTTATACCTTGCTAATGCTACAGGCTCCCATGATGATAGGAGTTCTTTTTTGCGTGATAATACAATATCATTGAGTGTTATGAACATTCCATCAAAAGCAAGGGTTTTTGTGCTGTATCTTTCTACCAACTACCAGAAAAACTCAAACATAGCATTGAAGAGCCCAAAAGGAATTTCTTTGGTCAACGACAGTTCTTGGTTACATTACTTGGACATCCAAAGGGTAATTTGCCAAAAAAAAATTAAAAAAAAAATCATGAAATTCGAGATAAAAATGTAGTACAAGTTAAAACATGAAGCAAGGAGTAGTAGTAACATTTATAAGTAGGTATAGAATATGTACGCATTTATTTATTCTTCCAATCATCTTCAGTTTTTTCTCGTATTTGATTGTTATTTTATGCTTATGATTGGTGAATAGAAAGAAGAAATAAATCATTTCAGAAGTTGTCAAAGCATTACATGAAACCAACTTTAATACATAACTATTTCACAAAACTCATACTCCAGATTATAGGAGTATACAATAATATTAACAGGTAATTGAAGTATGGTAACATCATCAAGCTAGTATCGAGTTTCCACCATTGAACGGGATAGAGGGAGAGAGATACAACTATATTTTTAAGCAAGATTGTTGCTTGACATGTGAAAGTGTTTTATTTTATATGCACTGTACACTTTTCTATTCGTAAGAATCTTTTATGAATCAATCAAAACCACATTGATGCAATGACAAATAAATAGTTGCAACCATGTAAAATAAGACTCCTTGACAATCAACAATCACGAATGTACTTGATAAAAAAATGAAAAACACATAAATTCTTAGTAAAAGTGGGTGCACACTAAATAACAATCAGTTTGAGATACTTCCATAAACAGAAAAAGAAATGAATGAAAAAGTAGTGAAAGTAAAGGAAATGAAACCTGCTGAAAGGACAGAACATCTAAGCAAAATAGCGTCCTCTCTCCTTTATCACACTTGATCGATTTTGAAATATTTGGCATAGAAGTCCCACCAAGTAGAACAATCTCACTACCTTGACCCTTATCGATCTCAATCAATCGTGAATCCGCTTTATAGTACTTCAACCTTGATCTAAGGGTATGTTAGCTTGTAGAGGACAGTGGAAGAAATTGGGATATGAAAATTTGATTCCAAGGATAATGGTTAATGGGGATTGTGTTCTGTCTCCAAAAACAGCTAAATGAAATTCAGCTTCTAATAGATAGTTATAATGTGAGGCTTACAATAGTATTGACTAGTTTTGGAAATATATCGCAAGCAACACATCTCTAGTAACAATCACTTTCTAATGATGGCAAACTGAGCTTTCTTATAGTCTATCTTACTTAAGCTTCCAACATTTCAATTGCACTCCAATAATAATAATAATAATAGAATACTCATACTCTGAGCACATCTCTCTCCAAATACACACTGAAGAATACTAGCAAACGAAATTTTTCAAAACGCAAGACATTAGTGAGGAACTCACGGATACGTCATGCTTTCTAGCTTTTGAAATGCCATGGGAATAGTTCCATTCAATTTGTGACAATCTAGAAAGATGAAAAATTTAAGAAAGAAAAGGAATACAAGACTACATTAGATGTTTACATGCTATTCAAATTTGTTCAAGAAATAAGATTATCTGGTATAGGCCCATCTAATTAGTGGTAGGCAACATTTCTGTGACTAAACAATGGGATCAACTCAAATTTTGTAATCTATAAAGGTTGATATAATATTAATGAAAACAGTACATGACATACAAGTCAAATAAATCTGTGCGCTTGGTGGAATATTCCCAACAAGTAGTTTATCATTCAATTACCAATTAAGCCACACAAAAACAAAAAAAAACAAAAAAACTTTAGTACGATGATATGTAATAATTCGTGATCCGTAAAAACAGAAAGCCCATACAAAGCTTTGGAAGTAGAAGCAAAGTGTTTGTTATCATCCTACAGATGTCTTACATAAATGTCCACTCAACACACAACTATGAAGGTTTATGCAGGAATGAAAGAATACTAACAATAACATACAAATAGTGGAGCTTTGT